CTTTTATTACTATATGTAACAAAAAAATTTCCAAAAAACTTAAACTTGAATTAAAATTAAAATCCCAAGTATAATTATTTACCCAACATGGAGGTTATTTTTAAATTTGTAAATCAAGATGCAACCTCCTTCATACTTGTAGTACTGAATGCTTTGCAAATATATCAATCCCAGATGCTTAATATTATAGAAGTCTGTCATTCTGTAGCTGTTGTCCTCCATTTAGTCTGGTGGAATACTTTGGTCTAGAAGTGTAGATTAGGGAACTCAATCTTAAAGCTTCCTTTTGGCTTCCATTTTGGTTTGACTCAACTTATTTGGCCTTAAATGAATTGACCAGCCTCGCTACCCTGGTCTTTTGAGCTGTGAAGTTGGTCATATACCAATGTAGTTTGAAGGTTGAATGTTTTAAGGAGATAATATGAAACCGTCTTGATCCTTGAATTATGGTATATTAATTTCTTCAAAGGAACCTCAAGCATGACATAAATAAACTCATTATTTTTTACAACGTTCCTTTGAAGTGTGTTGTCAGAATTGCTGGTGCTTCACAAATAGTAGGTTGCTTTGAACGTCTAATGATGCATCCAGAGGGATTTAACTAAATTCCTAGGTGGTTCTCCCGAAGAATTTCACTCGATTATTCTGAGAACAGTGGCTTACTCTCCTGTCTCTCTGTTCAGTGATAATGCTGGATACCTATGTCGTATGTGCTTTCATTTATACCCAGCACATGTTACTGGCAAATCCTGTGAAATTAATTTTTATGTAATTTGGTTAGAAGCGCTATCTAGATTATTGAAAAGCCGGAATTATTTAAGTTTTAGATCAACTTTTACTTGTAGTAATATTTCATTAAAAAGTGGTTTTAGGGACCAGCAGTTAGTGTAATAGCTATGTTGCTGGACTCCCACGTAGTCGACCGCGGTTCGTGTCCCGGACCCGGTGGCTTAAAACTTACGCCGGGCGCGTGTGCGTGAGTGCCCCAGATCCCGAGAGGAGAACGGAGGAGAAGGGATTGCCACGTGGCT